TTCCCAGCACCAGCTGTTTCCCAGGCTGGGGCTCTCCACACAGAGATGCAAGCTTGGATGGCTCTGTGTGACCCTTGCCCCAGGCTGTAGGCTTTGGGAGCCTCCTGCCCTCCTATGGGTGTTTCTTAATGTCCTGCAAGATCCTCTCGTCTGACCCAGGGGAAGTGCTGCAATGAACCCCAGGGGCTGGAACTCGCTGACTCATCTGCGGAGCCAAGGGCAGGTTAAGGGCACTGAGGTTGGGGCACTGAGGTCTGACGCTCCCAACATGCATGACCGCCCCCTCCCTGCCTGGTCCCTGGTTCAGTGTCTGTGGTGACCGAGCACATGCAGGGAGCAGGGAGCCACACCTGCCACCTGCTCCGCCCAAACTCTACGTCAGTCCCTTTCCAAGGCCCGTCTTCCCCTCTCCCCGGAGGAGCTGGCTCAGCTGGGCACCCGTACCTTCGGTGAGGTTTCTAATGACGCTATGATGACCGCTCGTGGCACGGTGACACCGCACCACGTGCTGGCTCCCACCGTTGTCCACAAAAACGAAGCTGCTGGCCACCATGAGTACCCTCTCCGTCCTAGGGAGGAATCAGAGGAGAGGGAGTCTACTAAGAGGGAGCCACTCACCCAGCTGGTGGGGCTCAGTGATCGAGTGTCAACCTATGAACCAGGAGATTATGGTTCGATTCCTGGTCAGGGTGCATGGCCAGGTTGCAGGCTCAATCCCCAGTGGGAGGTGTACAGGAAGCAGCCGATCAATGATTCTCTCTCATCATTGATGTTTCTCTCTCTCTCTCCTTCTCCCTTCCTCTCTGAAATCAATAAAAAATATATTTAAACAAAAGAAGATTTATGGAGAGGGGATGGAGGTTTTTGCTGCGGAGATGTTCCTAAACTCTAACTCGAGTCCCTCAAGCCAGTTAGTGGAATTAAGCTGGGGGTAGGGTTCAGGTCGCACTCTGCCTGAACCACACCTCCAGGGACAGTGGCCCAGCGTCCCCGGAAGGCATGTCTCCTGCAGCTCCTTCTGCCTTCCCTGGCCCTCCCCGCGCCCCCGGCCTTCTCCTGCCCCAGGCATCCGGAGATGACCTACCTGCCTGCCCACCTGCCTTTACCTGCCTAATGTCCCATCTGTTCTTCTTTTTTTTTTTTTTTTAAAAAAAGTTGGAATCGAACCTGGGACCCTTCAGTCCACAGGCCGACGCTCTAGCTACGGAGCTAAACTGGCTAGGGCCTACCTGTTCTTTTTATATCTTCTCTCTCCAGCTATAATGAGCGCCATGGGAGGAAGGGACTAGTTTAAAACTGCTTGGAGTTTATTGCGCTGGGCAGTAAGGACTTGAGGTCTCCATAACTGCTTGTGGATTGACTAAGATGTGGATGCTCAAAGGAGGCCACCTCTCTTCCTGGGGGCACATGGGCTCCAAGCAGCTTTCTCTGTACCACAGCCCTGCGTGGGATTCGAGGAGACCTGGCGGTCTGA